CACCTCTAAGAAGGGAAACAACGCCTAAAGATGTCATCGTCATCAAGCTAGCCAAAGGCCTAGCAAAAAGGATCACCGACAAACCACAACATCGTTCCTCCAAAGCCCAAGCCACCACCTGCCGTCTCAGGCCAAAGCTAACAGGAAAACTACCACCTCCACGCTATTGTCATTCCCGATTGTGCAAGCCGCGCCTCGACCCTTCCCCTGAGCTGCCCACGACCAAACCTAGAGTAGTCTGGACATAGGAGGGGAGGAGCTCCAAGGAGAGAAGGATGACTGCTGACAAGAAGGAGACGAGTCACTGCCGAGCAATTGCTTCCCTGCACACTGCCATTAACCAACGGCCTCTGTAACCGATGCCATCGCCACCCGGGAACAGCTGCCAGCCCCCTGGATCTAGCCAGCCCACACGCTTGTCGCACCACTCTCAGATTCGGTTTCAACAGCTAAGCACGAGGGGAGGGAATGGGAGAGTAGGTTGTTCGACCGCCAGCTTCCGCATGACGCCGAATCTCGCCGTCGAGGCCGTCCCCGCCATCCCCCATCGCCACTACCACTGGAGCTACCCCAGCCGTAGCTGCGCTGAAGCAACCTCGTGCCCACACAGCCTGCAGCTGGACCGTCGGCGGGGAGAGACCACCCAATCGGCCATGGCCCCCCTGTAAAGTGAGATTAACGTGGATGCCTCTCAGCACCACGGTTCTGTGTTAATATAGCCGGGAACAGCCCCCAGGCGTGGCGATTACATGTGGTTGTTACAGCTTTACCAAGAAGAAATGAAACAGAAAACAAACTACAAGATTACATCTGTTATCTAATCCTATCACTAGGATCATCTCTATCTGAAACACTATCCAATCCATTCGGTTGTTTAACACCCCCCGGCAATCCCAACACAGGAACCAGGTTGAGATTGCGCCTAAACTCACCAAGTTGACGCACTGGCAGAGCCTTTGTAAATCCATCTGCTAACTGATCACTAGTACTGATGAACCGAATGTCCAACAGCTTGCGTGACACCTGTTCTCGAACAAAGTGAAAATCAAGTTCAATATGTTTAGTCCTTGCATGAAATATAGGATTAGCAGACAAATATTTGGCTCCAAGATTATCACACCACAAACATGCTGCCAATGGATGCTTAACTCCCAATTCATCAAGCACCTTTTGTACCCACATTATTTCTGCAGTTGCATTAGCAAGTGCTTTGTATTCGGCTTCTGTACTAGATCTAGAAACAGTGGGTTGTTTTCTAGCACTCCAAGAAATCAAATTACTTCCAAGAAACACAGCAAATCCTCCTGTAGATTTTGTCATCTGGGCATCCTGCCCAATCTGCATCAGAGAAAGCACTTACAAGCATAGAAGAAGCTTGATTAAATTTGAGACCAAGACTGACTGTTCCTTGGATATACCGAAGTATTCTCTTCACTGCTGCCCAATGGACTGTAGTAGGACAATGTAGAAACTAACACACCTTATTAACAGAGAAAGAAATATCTGGCCGTGTGAGAGTAAGATATTGAAGTGCACCAACAATACTTCTATACCTTGTTGAATCTTCTGGACCTAATTTTTCTCCCTCGTGTATAGACAGTTTTTCAGAGGATGACAAAGGTGTATTAACTGGTTTACTATTCTGCATTGCTACCCTTTTAAGCAAGTCCATGGCATACCTTTCTTGTCATACTAGAAGACCGTCCTTGGTTCGTTTCACTTCCATTCCAAGGAAGTAATGTAAATCACCAAGATCCTTTAGGGCGAAGTCTGCTTCAAGACTCTCGAGAAGTCCTGTTGTGGCTGCTTGGGAGGAGCTTGCAACAATTATATCATCAACATACACCAAAACAAACATGGTATATGTCCTTGTGTTAGAATAAAACAAGGAAGTATCTGCTTTAGAGGGAACAAATCCAAGTTCTTGAAGCTTGTGACTTAACCGAGAGTACCATGCTCACGGTGCTTGTTTTAAACCATAAAGAACTTTGTCCAACTTACATATATAATGTGGAAAAGCTTTGTTTTCATAACCTGGTGGTTGCCGCATGTAGACCTCTTCCTCCAGAACTCCATGAAGGAAAGCATTCTGCACATCCAGTTGGCGTAGACTCCATCCTTTAGACACTGCAATAGATAGAACAAGACGAATGGTGGCCGCTTTGACCACCGGACTAAAGGTGTCCTTATAGTCAATTCCATATCTTTGCTTAAAACCCTTTGCAACTAAGCGAGCCTTGTATCTATCTATTGAGCCATCTGCCTTTTTCTTTATCTTGTATACCCACTTACAGTCAATAATATTTTTACCACTAGTGGAGGGAGCAAGGTGCCAAGTCTTGTTCTTTTGTAAAGCATCAAATTCATTGTCCATGGCAGCTTTCCAATTCGAGTTACTCAAAGCATCATGCAGATTAGTGGGTTCAGAAGTAGTGACAAGATTTAGGTACCTCACTGTACCATCAGTATAGCTCTTAGGTTTGCGTATGCCTTGCTGCAGCCGAGTCACAGGACGTTGTGGAGGAGGTGGCGACGGAATGACCGGCGCAGGAGAAGCAGTGTCGACTGAGCTCGGTGAAGATCCCACGTCCTCGTGCGGCGGCGTCTCCAAAGCACCACCGTGCCCCCCTGGATTGGAGACAGAGCGCGCGGAGTGGAGGGAGGCGTCGCAGTGGCGCCAGGTGTCGACGGAGTAGTGGACGCGGAGGCGTCCTCCGCGTCAGAGGAGACAGACGCAGCCGGCGACGCAGACACAGCCGGCGATGCAGATGCGTGTGGAAAGGTCATTAGAGGCTCCTCTGGAGGCCATACAAGAAGGATCCCCTTCCACTTCTCGATCCCGGCCCGGAAAAGTGACCGACCCGAATGAAAGAAAGGGTTTATGAGCCCTAGCCCTGTAAGCCCACACCTATGTAGAGTAGATCGTTTAACACCTCGATTAATGGAACGTGTATTCAGGAGGGCTCTGCTTCGCTCTATTCCACCTCCCGGGTGTATGGATTTCCTGAAAGTTTAATTCATATATCCGAAATGGAACGGAGAGAGAACTTTCCGTTCTGGGTTAGTGACCACATAACTCCTGTACCACTCACTAGTTTACAACATTGAAATAAGCGATTCTTTCTGCAATGTGTCTCTCAGCGTTTTTATTTTTCTCCCACGATCCAGAGGCACAGATGCAGGCGAATCGGCGCCGGAGAGCGCGCCTGTGCCCGTGCTCCCGCCAGCAGGCAGAGCGCCCATAAAAGGACGTTCCAGTGAATAATCTTGCTGTGGATTGTCGCCTGAAAAATTTGGAGAGTCTACATATGAAACATTAGTAGCAGGTGAATCATGCACCGATTGATCAGCTAGCTGTTCCAAACAGGAGGATGGATCGATCTGGTGCAGGTTCTCAGGGAGGAGTAAAATCTCTGCCTGGAGGCGAGCGCCGGCGTTAGGATGAAGTTCTTTAAACGGAAACACAGTTTCATCAAAAGTGACGTCCTGGGAAATATAAACTCGACCTGCTGATACATCTAAACACTTAAACCCCTTGTGCATAGTGCTATACCCAAGAAAAACACACCGGGTGGATCGGAATTGAAGCTTGCGAGTATTGTAAGGACGAAGATGAGGCCAGCAGGCACAACCGAAGGTGCGTAGAGAGGAGTAATCCAGGACTTGTTGAAAGAGTTTGGTGAGAGGTGGGACTCCGTCATTGACAGGAGTACGCAAGCGATTGATGAGATAAGCGGCAGTGAGAAACGCTTCATCCCAAAACTTTAGGGGCATACCGGCGTGAGCAAGAAGGGAGAGCCCTACTTCAACAATATGTCGGTGTTTTCGTTTGGCGGCGCCGTTTTGTTGATGTGTATGGGGGCAAGAGACATAGTGAGTGATGCCAATCCGTTGAAAAAACGTGTTGAGGCGTTGATACTCACCACCCCAATCGGTTTGAAGAGCGAGGATCTTTTTATCAAAATGACGCTCAACAAGGTTTTGAAAATCATGAAAGCATTGAAAAACTTCAGATTTACTCTTAAGAAGATAGATCCATGTAAACTTGCTAAAATCATCGACAAAGCTAACATAATAAGAACGCCTGCCAACTGAGGTTGGAGCGGGACCCCTTACATCTAAAAAAATAAGCTCTAAAGGAGCTTGAGACCGACTAAAAGACTTAGGATAGAGAAGTTGATGACTCTTCCCTTGCTGACATGCATCACAAATGATGTCTTTATTGAACTCACTAACAAAAGGCAAATCATTTTTGCTAAGAACTTGACGGACGATAGTGGATGACGGATGACCTAAGCGATCGTGCCACCGGGTCGAAGAGATCTTGTGGACACCAAAGGCACTCTTGTTGGCTGAAGGAGAGGACAGCTTCAGGGGATAGAGACGTCCTTTACATCTGCTGCGATGCAGAAGCCTCCTCGTGTCCCGATCCTTAATGGAAAAATGATAGGGATGAAGTTCAACAAAGGCATCAATATCAAATGCTAATCGAGATGCAGAAACTAAATTTTTGGTGGCTTCCGGGACATAGAGAACATTTTTAAGAACAAGGTTACCACTAGGAATTGGAACAGTAGCATGACCAATGTGTGAGATTTCCATACCTGCTCCGTTCACGGCGTGAACTTGTTCATTTCCGGTGTATTTGTCCCGCACCGTCAGCATGTCAAGTTCGCCGGTGACGTGGTCCGTGGCGCCGGTATCAACATACCAATTGGTATCGATACCATACGAAGTGGTGGCAACATTTGCAGCTTTTTCCTCCCCGGTGAAGGAGGTGTCGAAGCGTTTGAAGCACTTGATCACTGTGTGACCAAGCTTGCCACAGAGTTGGCACTTGGGTCGTTCTTGATTGCCGCCAAACCCGCCGCGACCACCTTGAGCAGGGCCGCGTCCACCAGGATTGGCGTTGCCGCGGCCGCGGCCACGTTGTCCACCATTGCCGCGCCCACGCATGGCGGCGTTCGCCTGTGCCATCCCTTGACGAAGCTCCAGGCGTTGCTCGAAGCTGATCAGTTGAGTGATCAACTCTGAGACAGAGATTGGTTCCACGCGGGCTGCAACCGCTGAAACCACTGGGTCGTAATCGAAGTCATGCCCGGCGAGGATGTAGGATACTAGATCCTCATCGTCGAGCTTTTTTCCGGCGGCGGTCATCTCATCCGCTAGGCCGCGCATCTTGTTGACGTAGTTGATCACGGAAAGATTGCCTTTCTGCGTTGTAGCGAGAGCCATTCTTGTGTTGATGGCCCGCGCCCTGGACTGGGACATAAACATGCCCTCAATTGCCTCCCACACGCCAGCGGCAGTGCTGACAGCTACAACCTGGGAGAGAACTTCTCGTGAGAGTGAAAGCAGAAGGTAACTTAGCACCTGTTGTTCTTGTGCAACCCATTCAGCATGGGCAGGATTGACGACGGTGACGTCCTTCTCGTCCTTCTTCACGATCATAGTCGGAGATGGCTTCTCCTTGGTTCCATCAAGGAACCCAGCCATCTGGGCTCCCCGCAGTGTCGCGAGGACTTGAGCTCGCCACAGCGAGAAGTTGCTGCGGGACAGCTTCTCTGTCACCGGCTGCGAGAGCGCCGGAGCAGAGGGAACAGCAGATGAGGATGACGCCATGAGGAAGGAGAGGAAGATGGCTCTGATACCATGTAAAGTGAGATTAACGTGGATGCCTCTCAGCACCACGGTTCCGTGTTAATATAGCAGGGAACAGTCCCCAGGCGTGGCGATTACATGTGGTTGTTACAGCTTTACCAAGAAGAAAGGAAACAGAAAACAAACTACAAGATTACATCTGTTATCTAATCCTATCACTAGGATCATCTCTATCTGAAACACTATCCAATCCATTCGGTTGTTTAACACCCCCTGGATCTGGCCGACTACCGACCGCATCCTCCGTGAGTTCGTGGTGAAGCAGGCCCAGCCACTGCCGTTGTTGCAGCCGCGCGGTTTCCGGCGGCCTGCTCAGGCGATAGTGAGGGAGGGAGGGAGAGAGGGGTGGGGTGGCGGCGAGGGTGAGGGTTGTCGCCCGTGTCGCCCTCTAAGATGACCGTTATATATATTTGTGGGCAGAGAAAGTACATGAATATGTACAAGGTATTTACTGACGACTTGAAAGACGTACGTACCCATGCATTTATTTCCTTGTAAAAATCAACCAGCACATCACCAAGTTGATGATTCAGGGATTCGACATAGAATTTCGCCGGTGCCTCATGTCAAACAGTCAAAGTGGAGACGCATAGAAATGGTCTTTTGCCGATTGCCACAAAGACAAAAAGATGATAAGGCCGGCCGTGTGCCCACCCAACGGCTCAGCCGGCCACACTATGCACTCGCTCGGACAGTCGATCGATCAGCACAGCAAACATCACTTTCGCCTTTGCGATCTGACGGTGAGATCAGAGCGAGCGAGCTAGAGTGGATTACTGCACCTGCCGGCTGTGGCATGCAGTGCCAGTGCTATAGCTCTTCCTGCCCTCTGCCCTGACGTGTTGCAATAGATCGACAGAGAATATTATTTTTGCCACGGACGGTACGGACAAGACAGTGAGCACTATTTTTGCTCTAGTGTCTGTCATTTGTTGGAATTGGCGATCGCTTATGGCACAGTACCGTGGACCATGCCCCCTCATTCCTGTCTGTCTATCTCGGAATTAACATCTCGTGAACTACAATACTCCTTCCATCCAAAAGAAATTATATACTCCCTCCGTTTCACAATGTAAGTCATTCTATCATTTCCTATATTCATATTAATGTTAATAAATCTAGATAGATATGTATATGGAAAATAATAGAATGACTTACATTGTGAAACAGAGAAAGTAATTACAATAAAAAAAACTAATATATGAAAGGAAAATGTTATAGATAGTCATAGCTAATTAAATGATACTCCCTCCGTCCCAGAAAAAGCCAACCTAGATAAGGATGGGATCATGTCCAAATTCGTTATACTATGAAGTGTCCCATCCTTGCGTAGGTTAGTTTCTTTTGAGATGGAGTAGGTGGTTAAGAGTGAAAGAGAGCATAGTAAAGAAGATGGGACTGAACCGGCCGTTGGACTGGAAAAACCAAAACTAGCACCTTTGATGACTCACTTTGTTCACAAGACCAAGCCAATCGGTCTTATGAGCCAGCTAAACTGGACGGTTTTCTTGTAAAGCCATCGAACCAGCACAGATTGAACCGATCGGCTCATTCACATAACAAATGGACTAGTGGTGGAGCCAGAAATTATTAAAGCCTAGCGCTCAAGTATAGCTCAACTAATGAGTTATTGATTTTCTCAAAAAAAAATTGCTTGTTGATTTAAGGGGATTCAAGCCCAAGTCTAAGGCTCAAGTCCAAGCTACTGTAGGCTTATCTCCGCTCGTGAATAGGACTTGGGCCATTTTAAGGCCCATGATTGCCGAATAGATGTTTGAAGCCCATTGTTTGGAATAAATTACCAAAAAACTTTCAAAAATGAAATGCAAATATAAGAGCATCTCCAACAGCCTCTCCAAATCGGACTCTCCAAACACCTATAGTCAACACTCCATCTGATTTGGCTAGTCAAACTAGTTACTCGCTCCAACAGCCTCTCTATCCATATGTCAATTGCATCATCTTCTTCCTCCTCTCCCGTTCTTCCTCTTTCTCCCGCGCGAGTCGACGGCGCGGCACCTCGCGCGAGCCTGTTAATTACTCAACTCTAATCTATTTAACTACCAAGCCTGTTAATTTGCACTCTACAGGCGTGCATTGGCAATGACATCCAAAATAAAAAAATTCACCGAGATGAAATTGGTACGCAGTAAAATTCCAATAACTGGTAGGACTGCAAAATTCAGTAGCATACACACCCGAAGGACGAAGTCCTCCTGCTTCCAGACGGTCAGGCAGCGGAAGGCGAGATGCGCGACCGCGACGCCGGCGCTGCTGCACGAGTCCGACTGCTGCTGCTGGCTCGCCGTGAACACAAAGCAGAACCCCAGGAGGCGGCAGAGCAGGAACAGATGCTGCATCGAAGAAGAAGAAGAAGCTGCCCACATTGGCGTGCCACTGATCCCCGTGCCCTGACTGCTCTTCTTCTTCTTCTTCTTCTTCTTCTTCTTCTTCTTCTTCTTCTTCTTCTTCTTCTTCTTCTTCTTCTTCTTCTTCTTCTTCTTCTTCTTCCTCCTCCTCCTCCTCCTCTCGTGCCTTTCTTGGACTTGGCACTCGATTTGGCTTAGCTCAGAGAAAGCACCGGCCGTCGAGCTCCTCGCGCGCGGCAGCGACGGTGGCGGCTATAGGATCGAATCACAAGAACTAAGCCAACCAGAGGGGGAGGTGAATGGTTGATATACCCAAAAACCTAAACTTTTAGTGGAAATAAAAGTTACCTTCGAATTCGATGTAGATCGGTCTGACCGAGGTTGATCCGCCGGTCTGACCGAGCTCGTGCCGCCGGTCTGACTGGTGTTGATCCGTCGGTCCAGCCACCTGAAGATTGCCTGCCGCGTGTGAAGTCGCCGCCGGTCTGACCGCCTCTCCTCCGTCGGTCTGACCGCCGCCTGCCGCCGGCCTGACTGCCGGTATGTCGCTGGTTAGACCGCCGAACCCGATGAAACACAAATTAAAGAACTCTTAAAGTAGATGACAACTTTATTGCTTCTCTCTGTGTTTACAAAGTGCACCAACAGCACTCCTTACAAAAATCTCGACTAAACTCGAAACCCTAACTAAACTAGCAACTCAATTGCTCTCAAAAGCGATACCGGGAAGCCTCATGCTCCCCCTCTATTTATACATGAGGTAGGCAGCCTAAAGCCATGAACCAAACTCATAGTAAGAGTCCTAAACACCTTAGGAAACCCTATAGTACAAGACACAAACTTTACATAACCAATCGTACCAAATTTGGACTCCTTCCAAATTCGACTCCGTATCCCATACGCACACAATACCTCCATCGTATGCCATATGGAATCTTCACCAACCACGTGCATCAACTCTAGCCTTAGTATCCCGCATGATATCTGACCACCACGGACATCTTCTTACCAAGCCGACTCCTGGTCTATCAACGCAAATACTCTCCCGAGGCATCGAGTCACCTACACATGAAACAAACAAAGAAACCATATTCCAAGACCAAGCTATCCCCAACTTGACTTATTGTTAGCAAACAACAGTATTACATACGTATAGTATCCATCTAGAAGCCATAACCATGAAACAATCACGGATATTCAAACAAACAACCCGAAACCGAAACCGACACAGCATCGGCCGGTCAGACCGCGGGCCGGGCCGGTCTGACAGCACACATAGCGCCGGTCTGACCGGCAACCTCCGCCCGGTCGGACTGGACACATAAAATAACAGTGAATCCGATCATCACCTGAAAATTGATTATCTCCAAAACCACTTCGACGATAATCTCCAAATATCAAAACCAATAATCACATATGCCAATTGTTCATCACAGAATAAGAATCAAAACACACTTTGATCTTACAGCGGCGAGGAGTCCTCCTCCTCCACCGGGGTCGTCGTGCAGCTTGCCATGGCGCTTCTCGAGGAGGAGCTGCGCTACCTCATGGTCCACCAAACCGTGCAGCTCGACCCCACGGGCATCTTCTCCCTGCGCCGCCTCTCACTCGGCTCCATGGACGACGGCTGTGGCGCCGGGAGGACGACAACTGCGGTGCCGGGAGGACGGCGACGGCGGCACCGGGCGGATGGCGCGGCGGGCAGGGAGGGAGCAGCAGATGGGATGGGGAAAGGGAGAGAGAGAGAGAGAGAGGAGAGAGGGTGTGGGACCCACACCGATGGCGAGCCCTCCTGGCTGGCCAACTTTGGCTAGTGTGGTGAGGAATTTAGCCAGCCAAATAGCTTGGCCATCCAGTTAGCAAGTCTGTTGGAGCACATTTTTTACCCAAGTTAGCCAAATTTTGGCTTGGAGAGCCATTTGGCCATTCTGTTGGAGATGCTCCAAACCATGCAAGTGAAGTGAGATTGGTTTGATTCCCCCGCAAATTTTGCGCGATGTACTAGCGGGCTATGGAGGAACCGGCTATGGATCTTCCTGTTGGGCCGAGGAACTAGCTCAAAGAGCCCATGTCTGGGTTGTGAACTTGTGATCGACCATTCCCAGTACA